TTAAAAAATAAAAAAATTATATATTATTTTAATATATTTTTAAATAAAATATATTTTAAACTATAATTATTATCATATTTCTATTTCTAAACGCTTGGCAATCAAATGCCAGCATGCCTAATTGTATGATGGAGGATGCTTGTTTATCCAATCGTTTGTTCAAAATTGATTTAAAAACTAGTTAATAATCCTTTTTTATATTTTTTTGTTAATATTTATTTTTCATAAAGAATTAATAAGATAGATGATGTTAATAATTATATAAAATTCTTTAATTAAGAATAATAATTAAAATAATATATACATAATTAGTAATACCTAAATTATATAAAAGAATTTTAAAATAATGAAATATTGACATACAACAAAAATATTAAACACTCTATTTTACTAACTATATACATTAAAATATTGACATATTACATAAATGAATTTTTAATTTTTCTAATTCAATATATTTTATAGTGACTAATTTGTATTATAAAAGAATTCTTTCCCGTTAAAAGATTTGTTTAACTATAAAACTTATATAACAAACTTGATTTTCACTTAATAATTCAAACATAAAGGAAAGAATGAGTGGTTTAAGAGGTATCAACTCAAGGAAACAAGTTTTTCTCTTAAACATTTTCAACTTTTAAGATATGATGTTTCATGTCTTAAAGGTGTTGTTTTGTTATAATCTTAATTTTTTTTTTTAAAAAAAAAGTAATAATAAAAATAAAAAAGACAAAACATAGAAGATGATTTTTTTTTTTAAAAAAGTAATAGTAAAAATAAAAAAGACAAAACATAGAAGAATACAGAAATAGAATTATATTTAATAGTGATATACAAAACAAAATGATTATTTATGTATCTTGTTTGGTTATAATAGATAAGATATGAAAAAAATAATTAATATGTATTATTGGCAAACTTTATATTTAAAAATATAATTAGACATTATTATTATTTTTATTTTAGTTTATATTGAATTTTAAAATTAATAATACTATAATAACCCTAATTATAAAACTAAGACCAACTTGATGGGTTGACGCTCCTAACTCATGACTTTAATCTTGTCTTGGGTCCATTTTCTAGTTGAATTTTAAAATTATAATAAAAATTATTTTTATTTATATGTTGACTGAAGGCAACTTGTGTTGATCCTCTAAACCTGTGATATTAACCATTCCCCGATTAACCTCCTAAGTTGGATTTTAAAACTATGATAAAATCCTAGTCTTACCCCGGGTCAAGCTCAAGTCGAGTTTTAAAACTACAATAATAGTTATTTTTGTTATTATATTGATTTGAATCAACATTCACTCTCACTCGTGATTTAGGCCTTGCTTGTATTGACTTCTAAATCGAGTTTTAGGACTATAATAATAATTATTTTTATTCTTATATCGACTCAAGTCAACCTGACCTGTGATTTAGGTTTTGTCTCGAATCAACTACCAAATTTGGTTATAAAACTATGTTAATAACCATCTTTACTTTTACATGTTTTAATTGAATATTTTTGAAATTAAAATTTTTTTTATAAGAATATTTTAAAAATAAAAAATATTACTTTTAGAGATTTATGCCTTCTATATGTTTTGAAAATATATAAATCAGATTAAATATTTTTTATCTCTATTTTCTTCGTTTCAAAACAATAATAGATCACCATGCAAATTCACTTCTTCTTCTTTTTTCGTTTACAATCTTTTGAAATCATTTATTTCCAAGTGCATTACTATTATCGTTTCCATGATTAGATATCTATGCTTATTCAAGTTAATGATTTAGACCATTGATCCAATTCTTGAATTATAATGTCTAATCTTCTTTAAAGTTGAAGAAATCCAATTCAAGAATCAAGAAATTGCCTCCACGTTAAAGAATCATGGAATGAAAGCAGGCCATTATTGTTTGTGATTTTACCTCGACGACTTTATCCCCAAAATTATCTCTATAATTGCCTGCCACCCTCCCCTCGGCGAGTAGAGGGATGCCCGTTTCATAAACGTTAATAATTTCTTCTTCACCACGTCAATAATTCCGGACTCTCTGATATCCAACTGGCGGCAGGTGTGTGCGCCGAAGGACTTGGCATAGAAATTAGAGTTATCCAAACGTGGAAAATGCACCGGCGTCTTTTCTTGTTTTTCTGCCCACCACCCCCCCCACCCATTTGATCATCCAAGATGCTGCGTTCGAGGCTCAGGTATCGGTGCTTTTCAAACGAAGAAAAATCAGTAAAAAAGAACTGTTGATGCAACAAGAGGATTTGAAGGCAGGATTGTCTTCTTTCAATTTATATCGTTGACAAAATGTTACCATGGGATCTTGACTTGGACTTTTTTCCTCTTTTAATGGATGCTATTACCGCCGTGCTATATGGATTATATGTATATCTTAAATTGTGGCAGCTACCCGTCAATAAACCTTGATCCTTCTCGAGATTAAAACAAAAAATCAAATTACTGGGAACCTTAAATATCAGCTTAAAAGGGGGGAAAAGACTTAACTTTATAAGGCCCACAGGATATTGGGCTTCGGGGGGGGACAGAATGTTTCTCCTCTTTTTCATTCTGCTTTGCTCTATGACTTGAAACTTGAAGGAAGCCGGAGGATCTTAGGCCTCACTGACGAAGATTTGTATTGCCCTTTTTCTTGGTGCATGGGAGGTCATGGACCGATCCACTCATCTTAACTATGCGAGGCAAAGTTCAGTTTGATGGGGAAAACGCAACTCAAAAACCGAAAATGAAAAAAGCAAGTTTCATCATATGGTTGTACAAAACAATTATTATTAGATATTTGCTTTAATATTACATATTTCCAAATTGAAGATCCACACGGTGTTCGAGGAATATTGAGAATAATCATGTGAGGTTTTTTGATTGAGTTTTGTGCGGTTCATCTTTGAGTTTGGTGTTCGAAAAAAGAAATAGAAGGGGTTCGAGGCTGAAAAAGGTGTAAACTAGGCAATAGATCCACACAACCTTACGAATAAGATTTTAAATTATTACTTAATAGAAAAAATATTTATATTATGAATGTGTTTGTTGATATTATAAAAGTTTTTAATTGAAAATTTATTTTATATCAATCTTATTTATAATTTTTTCATGTCATGATGACCAAAGTGGCTATAGTAAAATATCTTTTCTTTTTCAATAAAAATATTCAAAATGACTAAGTAACATAAAAAAAATCAAATTGAAAAAAAATCTAACAAAATTGATTAAAAAACCTATAAAAATTTAATTTAATTTTATTTTAATTTTAAAAATATAAAATCAATTGAATCAGAGTGGAACTAGATTGATTCAATTAAAACTAAACAAAATATAAATACAAAATAGATATAAAAGCTAAATTTATCTACCCCCACCCCCCAGCCTTTGTTTGGTGATCTTCTCTACCTCTTAAAAACAATTAATCCCCTCGGCCTCCCTTCCTCTCTAGTTTTATATAAACAAAAAAGTAGGAACTCTGAGGCTTTTTAGAAAGAGGAGGAAGATTATCAAATTATAATTACTAAAACTAGGGTTTTTATTTTTCCAATTGACTCATTTTCTCTTTCTTTTTCTCTTTTTAATTGATTTTTTTTAATTTTATCAATTAATATTGTATTTGATTAGGAATTAGATTTTATAATTTGTTCGGTTTGTATTTTTATTAAGTTATTTTGGTCTTATAACTCGAGAATAGTACTTAATGGTTAACTCGAGTTGACTTAACTTATTTTTTTTATTTTTTTATTAAAGTTTTTATAAATTATCATTTAACATTAGATCTATAAGGATGATTTAGAATCGAATTTTATAATTTATTTAATTTTTTTTCTATGAGGTTATTTCAGTCTCAAAACCAAAATCAAAGTCGCAAATTTAACAAGTTAAGCTGAGTTAAATAAGATTATGTTTTTATATAAGATTATCTTGATTTGATGACCCAAGTCATATATTTAGTGGATTAACGCAAGTTATTTTTTTATATATTTTTTTAATTTTTTTCTTAATCTCATACTTTAATATTGGGTTAGTTAAGGATTAGAATTTATAATTTGTTTTGAATTTTCTTTTCATGGGGTTATCTCGTTTTTATGATTCGAATTGCAAGTTTGACATGTTACCTCGAGTCATTTTTTAAGTAAAATTTTTTATTCTTTAATATTAGATTAATTGAGAATTATATTTTATAATTTAGTTTATTTTACTTTTTATAGAGCTATAATGGTCTTATAATCTGGATCATGAATTTAATATATTAACCCGGGTAAATTTGATCAATTTTTATTTTAATATTAAAAAAGATATTATTTTGAAAATTTATTTAGGGTTGTATATGTTGTTTTTTAACCCATAAAGTCAATCGGCTTAAATCAAATAGAACTTACAAGATTTTTTTTTCCTCACTAAAAAATAATTATCAATATTTAAATAATTTTTTTATATTAAAAAAATTTACTTAACTTGCAGCATATCACAAGTAAATTATCTAGTTTGTTGCTAAAATTTATATATTTACATATATATTATAACTTTGAACCCTTATAATTGTACGGATATTTAAGGGAAAAAAATCCACAATCTCTCTCTCTCTCTCTACGATTGACTTTCCATGTTACCAAACATCGTATTCCATTTGAATTAATTGGCCGCGTTTGGTAACTCGTTTTGTGGCCATAATCGCATTTCACCATTTTTTGTGGTCAATGTTCAAAACGGCAAACCTTAGTATCGTTTCACAACCCTCTACCGAATCATAAAGAAAAGACGAGGTCAATCCGTCATCAATTTCAACAGACAGCGTATGGAAATTTTCATACGAAGGTGTTTATTTTAATGTTTAAAAAGCTTTTTAGAATATTTTTTTTTTATAAATTGAATTTTTTATAATTTAAAATTATTTTAATGTATTAATATTTTAATATATTTTTAATTAAAAAATACTTTTAAAAAACAACCATTTAAACACTACCGACCTATTTACAGCTACACCCCAGCACCGTTTCTCTGTGTGCGTGCGTGTGTGTTTTATTTGCCGTTCTTCATTTTCCCGATAAAAGAGAAAGAAGCTTCTATCTATATTCATCGTCAGGAAAGAAGGGTCATCTCAACACACATGACTTCAGGTAATCTCATTCTGCTCTTAATTTTTAATTTTCGCTGTCCAATTTCATTATTTGACCGTCCATTATTTGTTCTATAGTAATGGAAATTATGAAATTTTGAAATTTGGGTGGATTTGGCTGTTTCAGGTCCCAGATTATGGGAAATTTATAATTCAAGCGTTATATTAAGCTTTTCTTAATTAATTAATTAACTAAATTTTTATGATCAGCTAAATAGAGCAAAAGAAGAAATTCTACTAACATTCGATTGCATTTTTTTGAGAATTTGAATAAAATGTGCTTTGGGATTTGGCAGATTTTGTACTACAAGTTCCTGATGAGCTGGAGACAGCTCTGCAGTTGAAGACGGTGCAGTACTTGGTTGCACAGAGACCATGGCTTGGTAATGCCCAGTTCCCTTCTCTAATATTTTTAACTGTCTTGTGTGAATTCTTTTGAAGGTTTGTGTTGCAGATCTTTATGGAGTTAATGTTCGACCTGTTGCACCATATGGAAGTGCTAGTAGAAGTGTAAATGTTGATCCAGCGTTGATACACCGTTGCTTGCCTGACGAGCTGCTCTTTGAGGTATTGCACACCAAGATCAAACAAATTATTATGTTTGACAAGTTTTCTTTTGGTTTATTTGCTTGATTGACATGTGTGTATGTTCAGTGTGATTTTCATGAATAGTATTGGATAGGGTACTTGGTAGAATTTGATAATCTACTATGGCTCACAACATTTAGAATTGATGATTAACTTCTTATTGAAAATGAAACGTGATGCAGGAAATATTACTTGGTATAATACCATTTCTTTCACTGCCCTGGCTAATGCCAATATCAAGAACTTGTGTTTGCATGGTAAGATAGGGGATTCTGTAACTGAGCCAATTTTTTATTCCTGTGCAGGTATTTTCACGTATGGCTCCATATGATTTGGGAAGGGCAGCTTGTGTTTGTCGAAAATGGAGATACACTCTTCGTAACCCCATATTTTGGCGCAATGCTTGCTTAAAGGCATGGCAGGTAGTTAGATATTCATAATATTTCCTGTGATCTCTTGTGTTATTGTGTCCTAGCTTAAATGTGTGCTTCTCCTTCATCCTGATTTAGCTGTCTGGAATGGTTGAGAATTATAAAATTTTGCAATCAAAGTATGAGAGCTCGTGGAGGAAAATGTGGCTTTTGAGGCCAAGGATCCGTACTGATGGTAAGAGGAGTTTATTGTTAACTTTCTTGTTCTAAGTTTTAGAATAATATTCATCTTATTTTAGTTTCTGCAAAATTAGGAAGTTCATTAGTGATATAATCTACTATATACTATAGTCAGTGATCTTATTTGGAAAAGGAGAAAGATGGATTTGGAGTATGATAAGAAGTTTTGAGTAAATTTTTTTTGCTGTTTTAGGAAACTTATCCAAACTTCTGTTTTTTTTTTTTCCCCTCAACTTTTGTTAACTATTTTTCTTTTACATGTCAGGTCTCTATGTCAGTAGGAACACCTATATTCATGCTGGCGTGCGAGAGTGGACCGTCACCAATCCAGTTCACTTGGTATGCTGGTGCTTGTTTGGATAATGCACTTCTAGTCTACTTGTGATCAGTGAATGAATGCAGTTCCAACTCATGAAACTCAGTTGCATGTATATTACATGAAAAGATTTAAGCAGTGGTGCTGAGAGGAATATTTCAGAAAGGGAAATAAAAGATGCTTCTGCCCATATTTTTTGTTCTCTCTTAATCACTGTTGTTTTAATTTTTTTTTTCCTTTCCTATTGTAGGTTTGCTATTACCGTTACATGAGATTTTTTCCTTCTGGCAGGTTCCTTTACAAAGTAACAATCTTGCAATTAATTCAAGTGCATTTATTTCAGTGCATATATCAAATGGGATCATTGCTTTTCTATCTTCGATGATAACGATTTTTTCTTGTTGTTTTTCATTGTCTAGACTTCTGGTCAAACAGTAAAAGATGTTGTGAAATACATGAATTTTCGTGCTTCTAAAACTGATGTTTTTAATGGCCGTCACACACTGACAGATGACGAGGTATGGTCCTCTATGAGATTGCAAACAATTTTGTTTGTCATATTCTTTTACTGTATTTAGTTTTTCATTAATCTCTGATTTTAGACAGATATACAATTTGCAATGCTATACCGTCTCATAAAGAACCTGGTTTTTTGCAGATTGAAGCCGCTTTCATGTACCCTGGCTTGCCTCCCACCATGTGGAGAGCCTGCTTGAGGTATTGGACATTCTAGCCTTAATATGTTGCACACTCGAAGTTTGTGCTGATTTAATGAATGGAAAAGATAAGTAGATGTATTTGTGTGTGTTGATCTGGCTTATAAGTGACATTTTTTTTTTACTATTATTATTATATATCTTTTTTTATTTGATTCTTTTAACTTTAGACTTTAAGGATGCTTACAAACAAATTACAACATTCTTTTTTATTGTTAATTACTTCGTTGCAGGTTGAGAGGAACAACATTAGGTGCAAACAATAGGATGGATATACTCTCACTTTCTACAACTAAAGTCAACAGTGATGGTGTAATTGAGCCTGAGGATGATATTTCACGGGTATCTCACAATAGGGGTCTTGCTCCTTTCACATTTGTTCCATTTGAAGAGGTATGCATTGTGTTCAATATGTTGCTGTTATCCTTATGTATGGAGCATTAAAAGCTTAAGCAGCCAAGTTCTGTCCTAGTTTTTATGTTGGACTGCTTTTTTTTTTTTTTATCACATTTGACCTTGTGTGCTGTATAGGTGGAAGCATCGGTCTTGAACCTGCCTGTGGAAAAGATGGATTATTATGTACCTGGGTAGCACCTGGACCTTTATCATTTGTAAATATGTAAAGATGCCGAAAAGATATCTTTGTACCAGATGGCGTTTTTTCCTTCTGTGTCCATTTGATGCTCTAAAATTGTATTTATCAGCTGAAATGCTTTGCGGTTTACCAAATGTTGTTATCTGTTTTGATAATGGACACAGAATTAGAAGCAGCGCACAGACGCTTGACAGTTAATTATTTTTTTTCAGTCTCTTTAGAAATGGTGAAAAATGTTAGAAATGGGATGTGAACGTGTCAAGAAAAACAAGGGGGTTGCAGTAAATCTTTTTAAGGAAAGTTTTCTAAGATTCATGAACTAGTAATTATTACTGAGCCACGAGCCCAAATGGCATGCAGGATATCTTATCTTTGATCATCGATGGACCCTTTTTTTGTTTGTTGGAAGTAGATGACTCTTGTTCTGAAGCAGCTGATCGTTACATTCTTGGCATGCATTTCCCACGCCATTGGTTAGATCAATGCGTGCACAAACTGTATGCTACAAAATAGATTCAGTGTCTTCCAGTACTTTTGCCGGTCATTTATTGATTTGGTTGGTTATGTAGCTCGATCAAAATTCTGTAGCATTTTCAGCATGCGGTGCGAGTCGCATACTGAATGTGCAAGTCGTTCTTTTAGTTGAATGTGCGGAATTTATAGGAGATCACTCCGCTGCCAAAGCATGTACGTTCTTGATCATGCTGTCTGCTGGGCTTGGACCGAAGGGCTAATTGATGCTGTACTGTAGTATTTCGAACAGACGTCATTTTGGCATTCTTGAATGGCATGAGAATTTGGGAAACAATGGAGTTTCATGTTTCTCGATCGTTTCTCTGCACTAAAATTGTCTGATATGTGGCAGTTGCCTTGAACGAGCACCAACGATGATCATAAGTTGCAAATCAGGGACAAGTTAACTTTTGATAGTGGGAATTACACGAGGAATGCTGTGAGAATAATCAAGTGCCCGGAAGCGAAAAACGAAGAAGTGATTCTTATTATGCTGATGGGAGATTCCTGAACATAACACAGAACACCTAATGAAAACAGTTTACTTAGGATATCGCTAGCTGGGGTACATAAACAGTTCGAGAAACGCAGGCAAACGGCTGCAAGCTACATGCTGGATTTGAGCTCTTCAGACACAAGTGGATTCCATGATGGGTTCCGTGGAAGAAAAGTGTCCTGCCAAGGCAAGGGGCAAGAAACAAAGCCTCGTAAGTCGGATGCCTCCACAAAACAGTAACGGGGCTTTGCTTGTGGTTCTAATAAAAATTGTAGCTGATCAGACCAGTAGGATGCGAATCAGTAGTCAAGAAATACGTTTACAGTTGAATCGTAGTCGAAATGGATTGAATTGCAGAAATTCTCATGCCTTAAATTCAGAGGATACAAAGCAGTTAATGTCAATTTAATTACTCGTATTTTCCTGCATTTGTCAATGAAAAACACAAAGGCGACCGGAGGCATATATAAAAATATTACAAAAACGATAAATCCATATCCTAAAGATTAATAAACCCACCAAGCATACAGATCATACCACAATAACAAGATCCGAAAGGCAAAAGGGCCAAAAAAAGTATCAAAGACTGCAGGAAAACAAAGGAGGAAAACCCAGAAAGAGAAACTAATAGGATAATTGAACTTACAGAGACATAAGAGCAAGTGGGGATGATGGACATGGAGTGGGACTTGGCGTGATCGAAGGCTGCAACACAGAGGTGAGAAGCCAGGCCTAATCCCCTTTTGGAACGTGGCACATAGGTGTGCAATATGTCCATCACTTTCCCATCATTTACGAGGACATATTCTATGTATGCCTCCCTGTCTTCGGTTTCAAACCTGCGTTGCTTCTCGTTCCACACAATTCTGGGTCCTTCAGTTGCTGATGCTGTTGTTTCCGATGCCGATGCCGATGCCATCTCTCCTCTAGCGTCTGATTTCGTGTGTTCTGTCCTTTTTACGTGCCCGTGTTTTTGGTGGTTCTGGTCAAGTCGTCTGTGCGGTCATTGATTCTAGATGGCAAGACTCGGTGGTGAAGATACTTTATTAGCCAGTCAATTGGAGCCGTCCATCATCATCTGGTAAATTATAAGGCTTTAATAAAACAGATCAATCCTTACAAGTAGCCAAATTGCATACATATAATTCGCATTTTAAAATGATGGAACTCTCCGTATATGGAGTTCATCACGAAACAAATACAAATATAAGGGTCAGATGAACTAATGACATCGGCCAGACATTTCTACATTTCCCCCCCTCGTTTTACGGGCAGAAATGGTCTGTGGTTCATGGCCATTGGATTATAATTATTATCATTGCCAAGACATCTCAGCTAGCTGTTAATGATTTTGAAGGGGTAAAATAATAATAAAAAAAATTAGTTGCCCCTAGTTTTATTTTCTTATAACTAAAAATTTAAACTGATTTTTTAAAAGTTAGGGGTGCTAATATTAAAAATAAAATAAAAATCATCTTAAAACATCCTACATAAAATAAATTGTTTCTTATTTGTTTTTAATGATAAAAAATATCTTTTTTGCTTATATGTTAAAGGTTTTGCATAAACTAATACATGTATATTTGTTTTTAAGGATAAAAAACTATAATGACTTAAGACAATAATTTAGAACCTAAACTGATTATAAAACTCGATCCACACTTTTAAAATATGAGTGTCTTACCCAAAAAAAATGGTGGATGATAAATTAAGCTATGACCCATTTATGTTTTCAAATAAATCCACAAACCATTACTCATACTCAAAAGTATTTGTAAGGACTAGAGACTTATTTGGTCGTTAATTTTAGAATTCATGAGGATTAATTGTGGAGCATGCAAGCTAACTTAAACACCCCATGTAAATTAAAGAAAAAAAAGTATTTGTGAGCTCACATAGATCTAACATAATCCTACACATAACAATAAGGAGGACCCGATTATTTTGATAAAAAAAATATTATTTATGTTTTTTAAAAGAAAACATCAAGATTCTGATTTCTTGAGGATGAAATTCTTACGAGGAATGTACCATCCTCAGATCATTTATTTGATAAAAACAAAATAATTAATTTTTTAAACAACAATGTTTCAACTTCTTAAGGATGGGATCCTTATAAGGAATGTATCATTCTTAGGTCTTTTATTTGATAAAAAAAACTTTTTAATTATATTTTTTTAAGACAATAAAGTTTTGACTTCTTGAGAACATGATCTTTGTGAAGAATGTGCCATTCTTAGGTTGATTCTTTGATAAAAACAAAACAATGCATAACGAAAAAAATATCAAAAATTATTATTTGACATGAATTTCACAATATTCTCGCATAAAAAATCAACTATATATAAGCAAATACAAACAAACAAAAAACATACAGGAAAATATATCATCCATATATGCAAAACACAATACATATCAAATATACATCCACACATCAAGACTACAATGCAAAGTAAATATACATAATTCATAATTATACATTACAAAATATCCAAAGTAAGCAGATCAACACATTGAAGATTTAATATTGACCTTGAGAAAGAGTTGGGATTAGATATAAATTGAAATGAATAGTGATTATGCGTGTACCTCATATGTGGAAGTTAGACATATATTGGGAAGTGGAAGGCGTATTTGTCTCATGTGTGGTGTTTGAACCTACAAAATCAACAACAAACTACTAGTTCTTGGGTATAAAATTGATGTGAATATTGCTAAATTGTTTTGAATATGGGTTTGGGCATATATAATGGCAACATTTATAGTGGTTGTAGGCAATTTTAGGTCTCATTAAAAATTGTTTAAAAAGAGAAAGTTATGGTAAGTTTATTAGAGATACAAGTGAGTATGAGAGTTATGACATTGTTCTATTTAGTGGTGGGGATGGAAGACCTATCGTGAGGATGAGCAAGTCTATATAATATTGACTATATAGGGAACTAATAAGCTATGTTGTTGTGAATTCTAGGTTTATGGAGCTGCTATTATAGAGATGGGTTTGTGGGGGTGACGTTATGAAGGATATGAGGATGTTGTTAAAGGTGGTCTTATAGATGTAACTGAGAGAGAGGGGATAAGATGAAGGGGTTGGCTATTTTAGGTTTAAGAAGGAAGTTGTTAGTTATTGATATTTTGGAGGTTAGGATCTTGTCTTTTTGTTAGACTGTTAGGTTTTTTTTTGTCTTGATATGTTTGTTCGTATTTTGTTTTCTATTTTCTTACTTTGTCAGACTTCTCTCCATGTTTGTTTATGTATATTTCCCATGCCTTTTTTTTTTTATCTAATGCATTTCTATTTATAATGTTAAATCTTATTAGGAAAATAACATATCAATTCATATAATGATATTTTTTTATTTTTTCTTTAATGAAAATCTAAAAATTATGGTATTTTTCATTTTTTTTCTTAAGTGTACATGATTGATTCTTTCCATATAACTACCATTTTTTTTCTTTATGACAATCTTGGTTTTTTTCACTAGAAAAACAATCAAAATCTTTATTTATTAGAATAAGTTAAATTTCTTCATTTTCATCTTAATCATAATCTAATGTTTTTAATGAACTCAAAATCTCATCATTTCCTTCTTAATGACAATCAAAATTCTCATTAAGCTCAGCTATCATTTTATTTTTCCTCCTTTTATTATTTTATTGAACTCCCTACAATTTTGGTCCTATTTTTTCTTACCTTTCATTTTCAGTCCCCAATCCTTTTATTATTTTTATTTTCATTTATTTTTTGACAAAACATTAGAAAATTAGTGGATTAAAATAAGGTTATGACAACTACCCCCTCTTTATAATATTGAGGGAATATAAATATTTAAAGATTTACTATCCCTGGACTTTATATAGTAAGTTTGTAAAGAAAAGAAAAATAACACTGGAAGCATGGTTTTTTTTAAAAAAAAAAATAACATAAACAAATAGTCTCATCGAATAACGATTACTCTATAAACAAAATGAATAAAATAAAATAATTATCATTAAAAGTTGGCTACCCTCAATATAAATTAAACAAACAAATAGTCTTATCAAAAGATAACTAAATAAAATAAACAAAACAAAAAAATAGCACCTTACCACTAAACTAGATTTGTTTAGTTAAGGTGCACACCACTTTCAATTGAAAAAGAAGTTCCTCATCGAGAGATGACTAACCTCATAATAAATTAAATAAAAAAAAATAGTTTCATCAAGAGGTGATTATCCTTAAAACAAAATAAATAAA